ATGTCCATGGGTTCCACACTTCAGGCAGTCATTGCCAGTAAAGGATTCTCAACAAAATATTACAAATGAACATTTTATTTATGATTATATTCAATTGTCCAATTACTTTTGGTTCCTTGAAAAAGGGGTGATGGCTACTCTTAAGAGCTGTAATTCCTAAACCCTTCCTCCAATTTGGACGTACATACCCTCAGCCAATATCCATTATATAACTATGACTTGAATATGTTTTGGTCAATACCTGAAAAAAACTAAAATACACGGATCTAACTGTATGTCAAACACAAGACCCATGGGCTGAATCCAGCCTGCCAGGCTGTTTCATGTAGCCCTCCCACCTCTCCTGCAGCTTTGCCATCTCCTTGTCTCTTCCCCCACCTTGTCTCAGCAGTCGGCAGAACGGGAGAACAGAACGCCTCTGCCAGATCCTGCTCTTCTCTATGCAGACGTGTAGAGGCTCCTCTCTGTTCTCCTCCACTGTCTCAGTAATCGGCAGAATGGGAGAACAGAACTCCTCTGCCAGATCCATCTCTTCTCTATGCAGACGTGTAGAGGCTCCTCTCTGTTCTCCACTGTCTCAGTAATCGGCAGCAGAGAGGAGGACGGAACTCCTATTACATATCCTTCCCCTCTCTGTGCAGCCGCAGCCCCCCTTTATCTCCGCTTCCCCTGGTCTCAGCAGACTGCAGAAGCTGACTCCAGCCCTCCTCTGGTCCTCCTCAAGACCCTGCACTTTCTGCTTTCCAGCTCTGCACCAATATCTTCCTGGCAGCAGCACAAAATAAGGCTGGAGTCAGCTTCTGGAGTCTACTGAATGCTGAGAACAGGGGAAGCGGAGACGAAGGGGGTCTGCGGCTGCATACAGAGGGGTAGGATTTGTAATAGGAGTTTTGTCTACTGAGACAGTGGAGGAAAACAGAGAGGAGCCTCTCCACATCTGCATGGAGAAGAGCTGGATCTGGCAGACTCCAGAAGCTGACTCCAGCCTTCTTCTGTGCTGCTGCTGGGAAGATATTGGGGGCAGAGCTGGAAAGCAGAAAGTGCAGGGTCTTGAGGAGGACCAGAGGAGGGCTGGAGGCAGCTGCCGGAGTATGCTGAATGCTGAGACCAGGGGAGGCAGAGACAAGGTGGTGAGGAAAGAACAAAGAGAGGGCGCACAGGCCTAGTGCATTACCATAAAAAATGTTTAATAAGAAATAAAATAGGTGTTGTACTCACAAAGGACAATATAGACAAGGCACATGATAAAAGAACAGCTGGGTCCACACCGCGCTGAGTAACAGTCCGCAATGGGGAATGTAGACATCCAGTAGGCCGACGCGTTTCGAGGACTTGCCTCTTCCTCAGAGCCAACTGACCAAATGTCTGCTCCTTCTTTATCTTCCACCATTAACCCTCCATCGCCCGGGCTCTGTAGGCACAAAGCATGTCCTCTGTCCCCGGATTCTCGGCTGTGTCCTGATCAGGAGCTCCGATGATCTACACGGCAAGGAACACTCACAAACCTTCCATCTTCCAGAGACAAGGTGGTGCTGCGGCTGCACAGAGAGGCGCAGGATCTGTAAAAGGAGTTCTGTCCTCTCTGCTGCTGACTGCTGGGACAAGATGGAGTCGGAGACGAGGAGGTTATCGCAACTGCAAGAGAGGTGCAAAGGCCACGTGAAATGGCTTGGTGGGTTGGATTCGGCTAGCAGGGCTTGTGTTTGACACATTCTTTGAGGGATGATCAGGGGCCTTGTATTTAGAAACATTAAATATAACCTTTGGGTGGACTGACCCTGTAGACCTCTTCTGTAGACCTCTTCTGTAGACCTCTTCTGTAGACCTCTTCTGTAGACCTCTTCTGTAGAGACCTCTTCTGTAGACCTCTTCTGTAGACCCTTTTCTGTAGACCTCTTCTGTAGACCTCTTCTGTAGACCTCTTCTGTAGACCTTTTCTAAATATAGTTATGCAGGAAAAACAAGTTTTTTTTTCTCTTCTCCCAATTTGTCCATGCACACCAGAGATGTCGATTTATCTCAGATCTTATCTGAAGTTGCTAAAGACCAGAAAAAGACCGATAAATTCTCCCACCGCAATGTCAACTATTGCTTATCAGTATCAGGAGGGCTCTCCTCTATTGAGGTTGTAAGGCATTTAGTACAAACGCACCTAGAGGTCAAACTGCTGCTGTTTATGAACTGTCACTTCAAGCTGACTCGCATTCACAGATATGTATGTGAAAGTTGGTTCTCATTGACAGGCCATATTTAGAAAAATCTTTTCTAAACGTTTTGTTTGGTTTGCTGTAGAATATGGTGAAGGGCCGTGTCTGATCTTTGCATGCAATCTCAACATAAGAACATCTTATCACATTTTATTTGCTTTATGTAGTAAGATGGATTATCAAGTAATATTTTTACATAACAAGCATACAATGGGTACGTTGGTGACTTACGCCAGCCATAGCCAGTGCGATTTTCATTCCAGCAACCTTGGGTTGAAGAAGAAAAAAAAATCGCTAGATTCCCCTATCAACACTGTCGGTGTTGATGAGGGAATCCCTCCCTCAGGCCTAATATGTTTTCCCGGGACTGGGGGATATATTTATTTATATCAGGTACTTATATAGCGCCGTCCATTTACGCAGCGCTTTTACATATATATTGTACATTCACATCAGTCCCTAACCCTCAAGGGGGGTACAATCTAAGGTCCTAATCCTCAAGGGGCGTACAGTCTAAGGTCCCTAACCCTCAAGGGGCATACAATCTAAGGTCCCTAACCCTCAAGGGGCGTACAGTCTAAGGTCCCTAACCCTCAAGGGGCGTACAATCTAAGGTCCCTAACCCTCAAGGGGCGTACAATCTAAGGTCCCTAACCCTCAAGGGGCGTACAATCTAAGGTCCCTAACTCTCAAGGGGCCTACAGTTTAAGGTCCCTAACCCTCAAGGGGCCTACAGTTTAAGGTCCCTAACCCTCAAGGGGCATACAATCTAAGGTCCCTAACCCTCAAGGGGTGTACAATCTAAGGTCCCTAACCCTCAAGGGGCCTACAATCTAAGGTCCCTAACCCTCAAGGGCGTACAATCTAAGGTCCCTAACCCTCAAGGGGCGTACACTTTAAGGTCCCTAACCCTCAAGGGGCATACAATCTAAGGTCCCTAACCCTCAAGGGGTGTACAATCTAAGGTCCCTAACCCTCAAGGGGTGTACAATCTAAGGTCCCTAACCCTCAAGGGGCCTACAATCTAAGGTCCCTAACCCTCAAGGGGCGTACAATCTAAGGTCCCGAACCCTCAAGGGGCGCGTACAATCTAAGGTCCCTAACCCTCAAGGGGCGTACAATCTAAGGTCCCTAACCCTCAAGGGGTGTACAGCCTAAGGTCCCTAACCTTTAAGGGGTGTACAGTCTAAGGTCCCTAACCCTCAAGGGGAGTACAATCTAAGGTCCCTAACCCTCAAGGGGCGTACAATCTAAGGTCCCTAACCCTCAAGGGCCGTACAATCTAAGGTCCCTAACCCTCAAGGGGCATACAATCTAAGGTCCCCAACCCTCAAGGGGTGTACAATCTAAGGTCCCTAACCCTCAAGGGGCGTACAATCTAAGGTCCCTAACCCTCAAGGGGCGTACAATCTAAGGTCCCTAACCCTCAAGGGGTGTACAATCTAAGGTCCCTAACTCACATTCATACATACACATACTAGGGCCAATTTAGACAGGAGCCAATTCACCTACCAGCATGTCTTTGAAGGGTGGGAGGAAACCGGAGTACCCGGAGAAAACCCGCACAGGGAGAACATGCAAAATCCAGGCGGGTGGTGCCGTGGTTGGGATTCAAACCAGTGACCCTAGTACTGCCAGGCAGAAGTGCTAACCATTTGGCCATTCTGGTTTTACTCCAGTCACTCTCTTGTACTTATTTTATTTCAGGTACTTATATATCGCCGTCAATTTACGTAGCGCTTTACATATATATTGTACATTCACATCGGTCTTGTACTTAATGTGGATCCCTTCTCTGAACTCTGAAATCACAAAGACAGCTTCTATCAAAGCCTCCTCGCATAGATGTATTTGACTTCAAAACGTACTGATCTATATATATATATTTTTTTAAATAAAAAAAAAAACACAAATGCAAGAGAGGAAGATGAAACACGCATCTGGGGAATAAAATGTTGCAAAACATGAAATTTACACTTTTATGCCACCTGGTACAAAGGATTATTCACATGATTTTAAAACGATTGTTTGCAGCTTTTCAGCAATTACTCGTTCATGTGGAACTGCAGTTCTGTATCAGTACATTTCTGCTTCACCTCCTTCCTCTAGTTTCCTTTTTAATCGCCTTTAATTTGCCTTTTATTTCTTCTAAAGCAAGCCCTGTTTCTAGAAATATTGTCATTGTGCAGGGCTCACGTGTTCACGCAGCACACACAGATGTGTGGAAAAATCCAGCCAACTGCCGCTTCTTTGGACGGCAGCCTTTTGTTAGAGAGTCAATGCGCTTTTCGTGATCTCATAATAAAACTGTATGGAGTTGCTCATACCTGTGTGATCCAGCGCCAGCAGTTTGTCGTCCTGACAAGACCCTTTTGTTTTGTGTACTGCAAGTGTTCCTGAATTTAAAGTAGTTTTAAACCCTCAGTGCAGCGATGGTATTTAAAGTGATACCAAAGGCTACATTTTTTTAAGGCCTTATGCACACTGGATGTTTTTAACCTCTTCACGCCGGCCACACACAAATGTTCGGCCTCACGTCGTCTGGGTCTAGACGCCAAGCGGCCACACATTTGCGTTCTATTAAAAAAGGACATATGTGCCGAGAGCGCGCGCGCCCTGTGCGCTCGCGGCACACGTCCTGTACTCGCGGAAAGGTCCCGATCTCCTCTTTCGATTGGGACCTTTCCCGATCATGTGACCGCTGTCACGGCGGTCACATGACCCTAAACCCCGCCCCGCCTCCCGACTTCTGGAACCCTTAAAGGGCCAGGAGGCACCGGCGTGAAGGGGATAACCTCCTTGGCGGTATTCCCGAGTGTAGCTCGGGGTAAAGTTTCAGCACCACAAGCGGTAACCCCGAGCTATACTTGGGAATACCATGTGGCGCTGCTCTGCGATCCCTCGATCACTTACCTTGTCCTGCGCTCCCGCGATGTCCCTCCTGCAGTGTCCCTGGCAATGTAATCCGGCGGATGCCAGCATCTGTCTTCCGGGTTCCGGTCCCTGCGAGCGTCGGGACGTACGGGGGACGGAACGGCGGGAAATTTGAAAATGACAAAAAGTGACATTCACTAAAATCACTAAAATCACATAGTATAACATTCCTGTATCAAACCATTTCACATACATTTTGTCCCGAGTGCTTTGTCCGGCGCCCTGCCTGCATTTTTACTGTTCTTTCTGCCTGAAAACTGAGAAACGTCCATGGCGTCCAAAAAGCGTCCCTTTAGGTCAGACGCGGTTTTAGACCGGCTAGAGAACAGCGATAGTAAATCAGAACCACTTGCAGAATTGAGTGATAATGATTCGTGGGGGAAATTCCTCATCAGACACTGAAAACGATTCTGCGACTGAGCTCAGCGATGTGCGAACTTGGCGCTCTATTTCACATTTCAGTTTTTTTGGTTTGATTATATTATTGAATTACATTTATTATTATATTATTATTTTTTATGATTTATTAAATTATAATTTATGATTTCGTGTTTCAAGTTTTATCCTACCCGGGATGTTTACTAGACTCTTGTTCGGACAGATTTCAGTGAGTTATTCCTAAGAATTACAGGCCTACAATATAAAACGCCAAATTTCCATGCAAAATAATGGTACCGCTTTCAGCAGCAAAAATCTGAAATAATCAGACCGCCGAGGAGGTTAAAGTGGATTTAAAGGCTGAGCCTGATCTTCATCCAGCGATGCGCAGAAGAGCAGCAGCTCTCTATCTCCTCAGACAATGGCTCCCGCTGCTGTCAATCAAATCCAGTGAAAAGTGAACAGGGGGGGTCAGTGTTGATCTGCACTCTGTCTTATGGACACACAAAGCTGGCTCCGGCGCAAGCACACACAAGTGCCGCTATAGCAAGCCGCTCCTCAGCAGGGGGGAGGAGCCTGGAGACCCAAAATGGGGAGAAAGCAGGTAAGTAGGAAGAGAAAAAGAATTACCTTTTCAATCACCTTAACGTTGCTGTTTGGGGAGTCTGGCAATTTTTTTTTTTCTGCCTCTAAATGCTCCTGGATGTGAGCCCATGTGCCCATGCACACACAGGTATTGAAAAGCAGAAAAAAACCCACTGCTAGTGCATCCAGGAGCAGCTGCATCTTGGCAGAAAAAAAAAAAAAAAAAAAATGCTTGATGTACCGAAATTGAATGCACATTAGTGTTCGCTCTCACCGAATCTGACTTTGAAAACAGTGCGACTTTACTTGAAGTTCCGTGAATTTTCAAAGTCTGATGTCAGTGTGACTTCTGGTGTGACTTGCAAGACATCTGTGCAACTTCCTGCTCAGATGTCTATGCAAGTCGCACCTAAACTTGCAAACAGTAGTGCGTGTGCTACTACTTTTTAAACTTCGACAAAGTTGGAATCGCACTGATATGACCGCTTCAGTTGCGGAGAATAGGGTGCGACTTGTCATGCGATTTAAAATGATCTCAAATCCCATGACAAGTCACACCGGTATGACTGGGTTCTTAAAGTGATATTGAAGGTTTTTTGGGGTTTTTTTTTTACAAACATACATACTTGCTCTGTGTGATGGTTTTGCATAGAGCAGCCCTGATCCTCTTCTTCTTGGATCCCCGCTGCTGATGCTCCTGGCCCCTCCCACTTTACTAGTGCCCCCAGTAGCAAGCTGCTTGCTATGGGGGGCACTGGTGCTTGCTCGCTCCTGAGCCCCGTTTCATGCGTCTGTAAGACACAGAGCTATGGCTCGGCCCCGCACCTCGCTCTCTCCTCATTGGCTCACTGGCTGTTATTGACCTACTAAAAAAGTATGAGCAAATGAATGCTGAAACTCCTACACTGGACGATGAGCCCCACAACGCCACATGGAGTACTTTCTGGGAATGCAGGCCTCGCTGCCCTCAATGGACCAAGGAAATCCAAAGAAGTTGTGTGCAAAGAAACAAACAGAGGGCGCACGGGCCAGGAGTCTCTGAGGAAGAGGTTCTGTCTCGAAACTCGTCAGGGATTTGGAGGCCTACGGTCCCCCAACAGCCACCATTTAGGGAGATTGGACCACGCTGTCTTTTTTTGTGATGTGCCTTTTGTGAGTATACTACTTTTTATTCAATAAATTTCATTTTTTAGAAGGTAATGCACTAGGCCCGTGCGCCCCGTTTCTTCGCACACTGTTATTGACCTACTGCTGTGTCTCAGCCAATGAGAGGAGAGAGACCCAGGACAGCCGAGGCTCCCGTGCACATCGCTAGATTGAAAGGAGGCTCAGGTGAGTATTAGGCAGAGCTGCACACAGAATGTTTTTTACTTTCATGAATAGAATGCATGACGGTAAAAAACCTTCATCCTGTACAACCCCTTCAACGCTAGCCGCATTTATAACTTGACTGTTAGTTCATTACTATGGCCAAAATAAATGATTATTCTGGGAAATTCTGTTATTTATGCCCAAGAGCTTGGCGTGCCTAAACTCGTTACGTGAGTCGGCAAGACTTTTTTTTTCCTGCCAAAACGTCGCTTCCAGGAGGAAAAGCATCTAGGAGAGATGGCAAATATTCCATTCCATGTGTGCCTAAGGCCTTAAAGAGGTTATACTTACCTGCACTGCGCAACGATATTGTAAAGAGAAGCGACGTTGCCCCTTTCATGGCAGTCCCCTGCCAGAGTTGACCACTTCTTCCTCTTTAACCACTTCCTGTCCGGACACTTTCACACCCCCTTCCAGTCCGGACACTTTCACCCCCTTCCAGTCCGGACACTTTCACCCCCTTCCAGTCCGGACACTTTTCCCCCCCTTCCTGTCCAGACACTTTCACCCCTTCCAGTCCGGACACTTTTTTCCCCCCTTCCAGTCCAGACACTTTCCCCCCCTTCCAGTCCAGACACTTTTCACCCCCTTCCAGTCCCGGACACTTTCCCCCCCTTCCAGTCCGGACACTTTCACCCCCTTCCAGTCCGGACACTTTCACCCCCTTCCAGTCTGGACACTTTCACCCCCTTCCTGTCCAGACACTTTTTCACCCCCTTCCAGTCCGGACACTTTCCCCCCCTTCCTGTCCGGACACTTTCACCCCCTTTCCAGTCCGGACACTTTCACCCCCTTCCAGTCCGGACACTTTCACCCCCCCTTCCAGTCCGGACACTTTTTCACCCCCTTCCAGTCCGGACACTTTCACCCCCTTCCAGTCCGGACACTTTCACCCCCTTCCAGTCCCGGACACTTTTCACCCCCTTCCAGTCCGGACACTTTTCACCCCCTTCCAGTCCGGACACTTTCACCCCCTTCCAGTCAGGACACTTTCACCCCTTCCTGTCCAGACACTTTTACCCCCTTTCAGTCCGGACGCTTTCCCCCCCCCTTCCTGTCTGGACACTTTCACCCCCTTCCAGTCCGGACACTTTCACCCCCTTCCAGTCCGGACACTTTTACCCCCTTCCTGTCCAGGGCAATTTTCAGCTTTCAGCGCTATCACACTTTGAATGACAATTGCGCGGTCATGCAACACTGTACCCATATGAATTTTTTACCATTTTTTTGAGACAGATAAAGCTTTATTTTGGTGGTATTTATTCACAGCTGGGATTTTTATTTTTTTTACTATGTAAATGAAAGTCCAAAAATTTTGAAAAAAAGTGTTTTTTTAAATAAAATTTTGCAAATAAATAATATTTCATCATAAATCTTGGCCAAAATTTATTCCCTTATTTTTTTAGTAAAAAAAAAAAATCCAGATTAGTTTATAACCAAAAATTATAATTTTTAAACATTTCTTTTACATTTTTTTTTTTTTTTTTTATATTATTATTTTTTTATTTATTTATTTTTTACATACTGTCACCCTAGCAGTACAGTGTCACCATGCTGACACTGTACTACTTGTGGGGGGTGATGATTTTTTTTTTTTTTTTTTTTACACTGATTGCTTTTACACCCATATAGGATGTAAAAGCAATCATTTCTCTTTCTCTCTGTCTGCATTCTTGCAGTCATTGAGAAGTACTGAGTGAGCTGTGATTGGTCACAGCTTGTCACATGGTACAAGGCTGTTGTGAATAGCCTTGTACCATGTGACCTCTGTGATCATTCACAGATTTCACACGTAGTAAGCAATGATGTCACAAGTGACATCTTGCTTACTACTTTGCATGTAATCACTGATTGGCCAATCAGTGATCACATGATCGGGACCTCGTAGAGAGGTCCCGTCCGACGATCGGTGTTTCACTGTGTCCGGAGGACACAGCGGGCACCGGATCGCGGTGCTGCGCGCTCCCTGGGAGCTAGAAAATGCGGGTGCCGTTTATGAACGGCCACCCGCCCCTGGAGTACCACCCCCCTGCCGTTTTATCAACAGCAGGCGGACGGCAAGAGGTTAACCTCCCTAGCGGTATGATTATTTCAGATTTTTGGTGCTGAAAGCGGTACCATTTTTTTGCATGGAAATATGTATTTGTTTTTATTGTAGGCCTGTAATTCTTAGGAATAACTCACTGAAATCTGTCCGAACAAGAGTCTAGTAAACATCCTGGGGAGGATAAAACTTGAAACACGAAATCATAAATTATAATTTAATAAATAATCATAAATAATAATAAATTTAATTCAATAATATAATCAAACCAAAAACACTGAAAATATGAAATATAGCGCCAAGTTCGCACATCGCTGAGCTCAGTCGCAGAATCGTTTTCAGTGTCTGATGAGGAATTTCCCCCACGAATCATTATCACTCAATTCTGCAAGTGGTTCTGATTTACTATCGCTGTTCTCTAGCCGGTCTAAAACCGATTTTGACCTAAAGGAACGCTTTTTTGGACGTTTCTCAGTTTCTAGGCAGAAAGAACAGTAAAAATGCAGGCAGGGCGCCGCACAAAGCACTCGGGACAAAATGTATGTGAAATGGGTTGAAACAGCAATGTTTTACTATGTAATAATCATTTTTAAAAAAATGACTTTTTTTAAATTTCAAATTTGCCGCCGTACGTCCCGACGTCACAGGGACCGCAACACGGAAGCCGGATGCCGGCATCGGCCGGAGGAGATGGCCGGGGACGCTGCAGGGGACACATCGCGGGAGCGAAGGACAAAGTAAGCTCTGCAGGGACTCCCTATGCAACGCCGCATGGTAAGCCCGAGTGTAGCTCGGGGGGGGTTACAGCTTTTGGTAC